AGGGTGGATTCTAGTCCGCTGCCAACTTTGAAGCGTTCTTAACCCTCAATTTTATTTGTCGACCTACCCCTCTCACTAAGCGCTATCAGGTTATCGAGGCAGAAGAAAGCGAAAATGCCAATTCCTCAATTTCATTCGAGGAACTACCCCCTTCCCTCCTCTCGCTAATAAGCGCTATCAGGTTATCGAGGCGAAAGGAATCGATATTGACAATTCCTGGAGCCTCTACTTATTAATGTGGACCAAATAAATATGCAGATGCGACCACGATTATGAATTTTTGCATTTGAATACAAATGCAAAACATTCGCAGCGAGCAGGATTCGAACCTGCGCGGGCAGAGCCCAATTGATTTCGAGTCAATCTCCTTAACCACTCGGACATCGCTGCACAACACATAGGCGGTCTCAGTGACTAGAGCACCATTCTGACTTCACAGCCTATGCGATGCCGTTTTTTTGCACTCATTCCAAAATATTTCCTCAACAGCACCCGCTAAAACAACTCCAGAAAATTATGAATAATGCTTGGGTGTGAAAAATACTAAAAACTGGTAGGCGAATGGCCAACGTGTTCGATGAATCGATTAACGCCGTGCCCTTGAACATTTTTATTGGGCGTTATTCTGAACATAATAAGTCGCTGCTAAAAAGAATGTTCACCGCTCATGCTGAAAAGCGCTTGAAAAGTGAAAAGAGCTGCATGGGAAAGTAAATAAAACGAAAGTGAAGGAATTATTCACGGTGAAGGCGCGATCACGGAGAAACTGCGATTTTGACTTATTAAAAATTTAAAGCGATTGTGACAAATGCCCCTGCTTCAGTGATGAGATGGAAGCAGGGCCAACCGTCTGTTGAACAAAATCCAAGGGGGTGGGGGGTGGTCATATTTGGTAGGGTGGGAAAGAGGGGGGGAGGTCGACCCCTCCTCGCTCGACGGCAATTTTGGAGGAAAAAGTGGGCGGAGTTGGGCTGTGTCGACTGGTCTCAGAATCAGATACTATAGAATCGCCCCATGATGGCGATGGAGGGAAGGGGGATCGTCGTATCGAGGCCCTCTAAAAGAGGGAGGGGTTCGTAAAATTTCAATTGGTGGCAAGCATACGTTGACCTGGATGAGAAAGTGGATTGACCCTGGATGGAGAGAGAGATTGTGTGAAAGAGCGTGTTTTGTGGTTTTCGTAGAGTATCTCTTCGGGGAAACGCATCGTACTTTCCACCACAAATAGGCCTTTTGCTCACTCACGGAAGGGAAAGCTCTGCCGGGACTTTTGAAGGTGATATTTCCATCGAAGGCTGATCTATATGACCTCTGACTTGTGGAGATTTTGTGTCTACGAGCTTGCCACGACACGAATCAAGGATATACCTGCTGGGTTTTGGCGCTCACATCATGTTATCTCCATCTAGGGAAGGTGGCGCAAGTGACCATGAATTTGAACTGTTGCTCTACTTTGTATCTGCTATGTCTGACGACAACAACGTATGTGTCATAACCATTGAGGGGTTTCAAGAGAAAATGCAGAGATGTGTCTCGAAACTATTCCTCTTAGATGTTCTACGTTTCTTATAATGCGACATTGCTTTGACGTCAACATGGCATTCTTAAACTCCAATTCAGATCTGACCTGGCTTTTCGTTTGTATAAAGCAAACTCACCTATTAAAGGGATCCCGGAGAATGATCCGCGACCTCTTCTGTTCGCCGACATACTGAATTTCGGCATATCTTCAACGATGGCGAGCAAAATCACAGACATACTCATCAACGTCATAATACCCAAACGGAACTTGGCGTCTCTGAAAACGATGTGTCAGAGTTTTTGCTGGAAAATATCGTTTTGACACATCAGCTAAAGCGGCTCGTGTCAAAAAAGATATTGCACTTTGAGTGACGTCATCCGCGAACGCTTCGAAAGAAAGCTGGTGCTTTTCGGCTGTTTTTACTTCCGATGATTTCGCCATATTTTTCATGGTAAATTGAAAAAGCTTGAGAAGAACTTGCAACGTTGTTTTTGCAAGTTCTTTATTTTAGCCCTGGTTTAGCCGGTAAAGTGATAGTTATTTAACTTATTTTAGTTCTACACTAATGAGGTGCGTTACGGTGTGCAAGTCAAGCAAGTGGGGTGGGAATCTTCACCTGAACCTAGGAGAGGCGAACAAACTCCGAGGGTGAACCTTGTTTTCACGACGTTGGAAAAAGGTTCTTATTGGCCCATTAACCGTGTGGCTCTTTCCCCTTCAAAATTCTCCTTCCGGTTCATAAATTTATTTGTTACAGATAAAAGACTGTGTTTGTCGAGGTTTCAGGCTGATTTCGTTCCTTCAGAAGACTGTTTGTGCAAAGGCCGCTTCCCGTCCCCTCGGGTAGACGGACTAGAAGGGTCTTTTATTGTTTTCAAAGACACTGTTCCCTTACTTTCCCCACTTGTTTGCTTTCTACGCAATTATTCACATTTCAAATATGTAGTTTCTCAGGGCGATTTTTGATGAAACACAAAGAAAATTAGGGCCTCACAATTGAGATTACCCGGTATCCGCACCAAATATCGCAACAAACTGCGCTCCTCATCGCGAACACAGGTAATTAAAACACTTGTTGCGGAACTTAAGCTTGTTCCTTGGGCTTTTTCAAAACTTTTGTAAACTTGTTTCGGAATATTTATGCGCTCATCTTTACGCATTCTTAAAAGACATCAGGCCAAGATTGATGGCCCTTCTGGATTTTAGAGTTGTATGAAAGATCGAAGAAGTCGTAACAATAAGAAAGGGTTGACGGGGGTGACAACAGGTATCGCACAGGTGGCACTCAGTTTCCGCACAGCCAAACAGACATTTGTTTTGTTACCGCCACCGTTTTCCGAGCGGAGACCTAGTCTCGGATATTACTAGAACAGGGAAGTAGATGTTTTGCATGGCGCACTCAACTGCAATAGATTGATGCAAAGTACTTAACCCTTTTGTCTTGCATACACTCGGGGTATGGCATTACACTATGTAGACCATATTGCGCCCCGCGCAGTTTTCTCAGAAAAGGAAGCAGAGCCATTTTTTGTTATCAGACCTGCTATTGAGTGTGCCGCGACCAGTGTGTTCCATCATGCTTATTTGTTCCTATGAGGTAGGTATCATAAAATAAAATTATGACCCTCACTGAGAAGCGCCCATACACCTGTTATTGGAAAATTTGCCATAGGTATAATACGGCAAACGTAGAGACGTTAAGACGGCTTTCTGCCATCGGCGTAATCTCTATTTTACTCCATCTAAATTGGGCTTAGCATAGTCATTAAGCTAATCAGTGTTGAGGCTGTGAGAAGGGCTATAAAATGGAGCGACAGTTTAGGACTGCCTATCGGAACAGGAACCATTCAAACACATACAGTAGCGCTCAAAGTGTTCGCCGAAACGATTTTCGGTGCATTATTTTTTCTCGCTTGAGCAACGCCCTCCAAAGATTGATATACTATGTTTTCTAGTGTTTTTATATCCTCAAGTCTTAAAGAATCAGGATGTTCAAAAGAAAAAATTTTCGAGGTCACCATTGATTTTTTTTGGCAAAAAAAAAGAAGCACGAAAAACCGTTTCGGCGAACACTTTTGACCGCTACTGTAATGATGGCATTCACTGAAGTAGAGTGAAACTAGGGCAACTTCACAGCGGGTCTACGAGGATCGAATGTGAGTAGTATGAGAGCCGATATGGTTTCGCTCACGCTCATTTTTAGTGTGTCCAGGACAGTCTTGAAGACTAGCGCGTTGCCTTCGAACGCTGATCTCAAATCTACCTTCCAAATCTGCTAAACGATTCTCTGAATGGAGTTATGAAGCAAAACAGCGCAACGGCAGTCGGGATTTGCAGTCAAAACGTCGTAGGATCGGCCCCTGATCGCGTCTACTGTTTTGCCTTCTTCAGTAGTACAGCTAAAAGGCTTTTAATAGCCTATTAGCCTAATTCCTGAAGAACGCAAGACAGTAAACGCGATCAGGGGCCGATCCTACGACGTTTTGACTGCAAATCCCGACCACTGCCGTTGCGCTGTTTTGCTTCATAACTCCATTCAGAGAATCGTTTAGCAGATTTGGAAGGTAGATTTGAGATCAGCGTTCAAAGGCACATCTAGTGGTATACATCTCTTCTTGAATGGCCATGGCGACCTGGGAGCCTTTCCGTTAGTCAACGTATAGCACATTTCTCACTGATGCATATTGAGCGATTTTTCGCCTTTATACTGTCTTTTGTGGAATTGCACTTCCAAATAGTATAATTGCTTGATTCACGCTGTAAAAATAGCCATAAATGAAGTGCACTGCACCAACCTCATTCGACCGCTTGTGCTCGGAGTATGAAAGCCGATAACGGCGACAAGAGTGATAATCGTACTCGGAATCACCAAATTGAAGACTGAAAATGGTATTTTTGAACTTGTTTATTCTTCTGTGCTACGGGATTGATGTTTGGAACCAGAAAGCCTAAAGCTTGTGATTTTGTTAGCTACGAGCATCTCCTCCCCCCACTAACATTCCCGACGTCGCGTTGGGAAACACCTTGGAATCAAACAATACGATGAGGAACTCATCAGAGGTTCCACCAGTACTGTGGGGCATAGCCCACGCCTTGTTTTAATGTTAGTATGGACAAATGGACCACACTAAAGTCCCATGTTGTCATACGTGTTGGTGTTTTTGAAGTGTATAGCGAATTTTTTGGTTACAAGGGGGAGTGAAGAATAGGTAGAGGTCATTGGTTGAAAATCCTCAAACCATTGCGGAACGTCCAGAAGTTGCGTCTGGGCCCATGCTCTTGCCTCTCTTACCTGTCTCGTCTTCGAACCTATTCCCTTGCCTCGGAGCCGATATCTTTCGAATTTCTGTCTCCAATACTCTTCTACCCCCAAAAAGGGGCCCTCGCTCCCATGTGTTTAGTGGTTTGTTCTTGTTTCCTCTTCACAAGCAAACAGTCAGAACCTAATCATCATTTTTTTCTATATTCCAACCCCATGACCCTACAATTGACGCAAAATGTGACTTCAAATCGCCGTAAAACATTTTGTTCACATTCCCGCTGACAAGTGAGACATGCTGCCACTCAATGTTGCGTTCAAATAAAACGCGGAGAAATGCCGCCATGACCTCGATTTGGGTACGTTTCCACGAAATTGCTTAAAATTTTCAAATTAGAACCCGAAACGACGTCCAGTAGATATGTGGGTCACAATGTTCACTCAGTCATAAGGTCATTCCCTCGTTTGTCAAAGCAGTACTGATCACGAAACTGACCGTAATAGAAACTCTGACGTTCCACAACAAGATCAATAATTATCATTTCCCAAAACAATGGTGGATCCAAATAGTCATACAGAAAACCATCCGATTTCACTGTGCTTCTAACCTGAAAGTGAAGAAATGTTCCCACAAATCCGTTAACTATAAAAGGATATTCTTTTTTCTGCCGATAAGTATCAAGATCCTGATCATGGATGCCTAGCGATACTCAATTGTAAGAATAAAAAAAAAAGCTGTTGAAAAAATCAAGTTAGTAGTCCCTACCGTATCAAGCTCCCATTCTTGATTATCATAGAAATCGATTAATGAGAGCTTCGGTGAATAGAGCGAATACTTGATGGAATCGTTTGAATGGGCCCACGAACCAAACAGCAACGTGCATTGTTGCCTTAACTTACGCAATTATTGCAAGTACCCTTCCTTTCAAAAAACGAGAAGAGCGTCGGGTGCAGACCATACACCACAAGTGACGACGGCCTCCAAGTAAATCTGGTTAGTAGTGGTTCATAGTGATAGCTGATTTTGGTAAATGATAGTTGTAATTAGTGACAACTGATAGAATACAACTGCAACAGGCTAATCATTTCATTGGCAGAAAACATTTTATTTGTGGAAGCCGTCGTCACTTGTGGTGTATGGTCTGCACCCCGATGCCCTTCTCGTTTTTTTGACAGGGAGGGCATGTATCAACGATTTGGCGCTATCGCAAGAGACGAGGGCGCTGTGGTGGCAACACACTCCAAACGGCACTGAAGAATCACTTTCATAAGCAATGATTCATAGCTCTAAGAGAAGGGGCAAGAACTCCGAGCAGGGTCAACCCTATGTTGCTACAAGTAGCAACGGGGGTCGTATTTTGATGAGTTTGTAGAGGGGGGTCGTACTTGCTTCGGTTGTAAGAAGTTGCATGTGATGAGAGGGGAGCGGCGCGGGAGAAAATTTGTTCAGCGCGTGTATAATTCCCCCCCCGCTCGACGTTGGTTTACTGGTAGTAAAAAATTTAATCGAAGGAGGGTCGCTTATGAAAATTCGTGAGGGAGGGGGATCGTAAAAAACTTTTTGAAAAGACAGCAACGACAGGAACCGACTCTGCTCCAGGGTGCGTGAGCAATTTTCACTGGCCTCAAAAAGGTCCTGCCCCCCCCATCCGACATTCCTAGAGCGTGCGCCGAATCTTGCGCATAGCGCCGCCTTTTCTACACAAGCGTGTGGACCGAACGAGAGAAAGCACTCGCGACGCGCGCGGCGAGTCTGAAGTTTGCTCTGCCGTTATAATTACTAGACCCTAATGTAGTAACCAGAAAAAATTCCATACTCACGTATCAAAAGGGAAAAACTTCACGTCTAGTTTACAAAGACTCTCGGACGAAAATGGAATGTAGTAGCGCACGTGGCCGGTGTGATTCACGCGAATGTCGTTGTTCGATTGTAGCTTGACGACGTCATTGAAGTTCAGACTAAAATGTTGAATCGGTTAGTAAAAGGAAAACTCTACAATAGTTATCACTCAGAATATTTCTAGGTGGATACGAAGCGTTTGAGTTTGAGTTTGGATACGAAGTTTGAATTGCCCTGGCCAAACCCAATTCTATTACATGAAGTGCGCCCTCGGTCTTTCACGGTGCAGAAGGTGGCGAACGCGCGGTCGCGACGGCGTGGAAATGGAAATTTGTCCGTCAGCTAATTGACCAGCTGTTTGCATGAGTCTCTTTTTAATAATGTCAAATAAACAGACTGTGTCTGGTTGATTTTGCCGCAAGTCCTCGTTAAAATCAGATGTCCGTTGATCGACGAACAACTTCCTTTCTTGACGCTACCGCGACCGCGTACGCTAGAAGGTCCGCAATCACGACTTCCCCAGCCGTGAGGAACAAGGTTCACTTTTCCTGATGGTCTTTTCATCCATTTTCTGTGCTATCACACATTTTTGGTGATCATTACAAATGATGAACTGTCTACGCGAAAGTGTCGACTTGACTTTTTGCGGTAAACTTCTTTTTTTTTACAGAGAAACTAGTTGTTATCACTCCAGTACTCTGTCTTTACTAGTAGAGGTTATGCGAACAGCTTACTTTACCTCATGCCAGTAACCTCTACTAGTAAACAGAGTACTGGAGTGATAACAACTAGTTTCTCTGTAAAAAAGAAGTTTACCGCAAAAAGTCAAGTCGACACTTTCGCTACAGTTCACATTTGTGATAATAGGGTTTAGGGCTGCTGATCTGCGGAAGTCCCCGTCGAAATCCTTCAGAGGACTCAAGTTTTTTTCCGACTCAACATTGTGTTCGGCTGTTTTACGCTGTCGCGCTATTTTACGGCTCGCTTTCTTCCAATTCTCGTTTTGCATCCCTCGACCTTGTCCTTGTTCGCAATTTCTAGTTTACACGAGGGTTTTTTTCAACTGATTGCTCAACAGAGAAGAAGCTTCTTAGAGATCTCAGAACGTAGAAAAAACACGTGGCCGCAAAACCCTCCGTTTGGGCGAAATCAGAAGATTTACGTCTTCTTTTACGACACTGAACCATTTTCCAGTTCTCGCGTCTAAAGCCTAAAATGGCGACCCGTGCTTCGAATTCCGAAGAGGACTGGATAGACACTCAACCCCAAATTCACCCTGCTCGTTATGAAAAAAAAAACACAAACGAAGAAAACTCAGAGATTGGCCAACTTCTCCATTTTCACACCTTTATGTACGCTTAATTGGACCTCCTATTGAATTCGCCATACCGGGAACGAGGTTTGAGAGCCTATCCGTTACTTCTTTTGACTGCTTGTTAATCAACCTTAAAGTCACGGATCGCGATTAAGGCTAAGAACCCTCCTATAGTGAAAAAGAGGGCCCCAATCGCAGAAGGAGCGACACTGTCGTGACTCAAACGTCCAGTTAACAGCTCTAAGGCCTTGCCTTGTATACTGCCACCTTTACCAATCGTGGCGTGCGTCACGTCTGTGCCCTCTCACGTACGACGTGCTCCCTCGCGTTTTCCCTCTCTTCGAGGCGGTGTGTCTCTCCGTCGTACCAGGGCGGAAGTGGTGTAGTGGCAAGTGGCACGCTTACCACGCGAGCGGTCCGGGGATCAAATCCTGGGTCGTGAGTCGCCCGGGCCAACCAAGCCTTCCATCCCTCCGGGGTCGGTTAATTGGTACCAGACTTGTCTGGGAGGAAAAACACTGACTTGAACATCGGCTGGCCCCCGCAAGTCATTGTATAGGCCACATCGCATTCAAACGCCACTACGAATGTACAAATGGAAGTAGAATGCGTGCCGCATCCCAAAAAGGGATTGATCAACGGCAAATGCTTTATCCTTTATCCTTTAACACAACCTTTAGATCTCAACCCGTGACTTCAAGGATTGGGAAGGAGGATTATATGTAAATTCAGGAGGCGAAGAAGGGGAATATAATTAAAGGGAACCCGGACGGGCTTCCTAATGCTTAAATGAGACGACAACGATTCGCGTTTTGATACGAGGGACATACCTTCAGCGGCATAGCAGGACCGCACCGGCGAAGCTACAAGACCTATGGCTGCCGGCTCCTTATACGAGTCGGCTAGCCACGGCCTAGCCGTTTAGAGGAAAGCAAGAGTAGGGCTTCGACGTCAGTACCGATGAGACTCCCCCATCGCGTTATCAACCCATTCCACGGGAATGCGGTCCCATTCCACGGACTCGCCGTTTTTCCCTGCATCACTGACCACCTCTGCTTGTTTTCAAGTGGGCTGCCTTTCAATCGTGCCTTTGAATTGGTGGTTCTTTGCTTTGCTTTATTTGCTTATTGTTAGTCGAATTTGTAAACTGCTCCATTTAAAAACTATACAAGATTTCCGAGGGTGTAACTCAAACGTCGAAAATTTTCGTTATACTCTCTTAAAATGCTCGAAGAGAATCGCTCTGACGGAACTGTTAGAGAACGACCACAGAATCCTTCGATAAATTAATTCATTCTTATCGCAGAAGATCTGGCAACACTCAATACTTGGCATTGGAGACGTTGCCTGCTCAAAGCTGTTTGACGTTAAACGAAGTCGAACAGGGCACCTTCAATTGGAGCAATCTTTAGTGCAAGAAGTTAAGTTATATACTAATGAAATGAGCACTTGTTCTTCAAAGACATAAAATGGAATTTTTTGTGATATATTGTGCCTTTCCTTTTTCTCCGTCTAGCTTCTCCCCCACCCCTTTAATCCCCCAATCCCATGCCCATGACGGGGTTTTCGGTGATGGGAACTTGGAGGTAGAACACCTAGAAATCCACTACGACTGCCATGCAAAGACCGGAGAGGGTAGGTACAGGGAAGAAATCGTCTGGAGATCCTGTATGAAGGTTATATTAAACTCTAGAATACCACATAATGGACCTTAAAGGCACGCTCCGCGGAATTGAGGCCGCTCGCCTGTCCTCCTGTACGGTATAGACAATGTGTGGACAAGCATGAATGTCGCGCCCCTTCATGTCGCTTGAAGTGCGCGACAAAGGCCGCAAGGAGCTCGTCCGATTAAGCACCCAACCTTCTGTCTTCAACCCTATCTCGCTGTTCGGTTTTTCACGCGGCATTCGCTGCTTGAAAACGCGCTCGGCGCATGCGAGTCTGGCGGGTTCCAGCGCGATCCACATGTTCCAATTCCAATGGCCCTGAGAAGTAAGATTAGTCGTAATCAGTCCAACGCGCTCCTCTCAATCCATTAGGGAATGCAGATGGGAATGCGGCTGAAATACGTCCCTGTGCGGGGCGTGATCGGTGGTTTCGTTTGCTTTCCTTCTCTCTTCCAGACCACCTCCCACTCCCCTCTAGTTCATAACTGAACGCTTTTCCACACCTATTTATCCCGAATCTTGCCTTTAAAGGACGAATTCACGATGAAAAAGCAACCCATTTCAAATTAACCTAGGGATGGTGAGTACACGAAAGAAGGAAGAACCATGAGAAACGGCCCAGAACCCGAGAAATGGGCCCTTGCCCGTTGATTCGAGCATTGATGCGACTCTCATCGCTGTGCCCTCTTCAACACTACGCTCTCTCAGCTATCTAATCACTCGCCACGTATTGAACTACGGCGAGTGATCAGATGATCGGTGGGCGGAGATCGCCGGACCCGCCAGCTTTGAGGCATGATAGGTCGCCGAGGTCAAATTTTTCCATGCGAATTGCGCGTCAGTTCGCACCCTCAGGAGGTCCGTGGGTCCCTCAACTAGGTCAGTTTCCCTTTCTTCGACCTTCATTCTAATCGTGAATTCCTCCTTTAAGGGCACATCCTCGACCAATCCGATGTGATTTTCCCCTCCAATATGAAAGCACAGATGCGAACGAACTGCTTGTCAGGAATAGAAACCGTCGTGAACTTCTCCTTGTTCTGCGCTATGTAGGAGTCTTAGAGGTAAGGAGCGACGTGATGGATAAGGACAGCCGAGGAGAGAAAAACGACTTGGAGACAAGAGAGTAAAGCAAGTAATAGTAATAGTAATAGCGAATACGATAGCCAAGAGCTATCGCCATGTTGGTCGTGCGTGGACCCATGGAGCTTACGAGGATCCAGGTCCTAAGCCCCTAGCGTTCTATTGACGCGTTTGTGCGGAGGTGGCAGTCTGGTACCAATTAACCGACCCCGGAGGGATGGAAGGCTTGGTTGGCCCGGGCGACTCACGACCCAGGATTTGATCCCCGGACCGCTCGCGTGGTAAGCGCGCCACTTGCCACTACACCAGGATGGCAGTTTTTTTCATGGGATGTGCTTTCAAAATAAATCGAACGATGACCGCATAGCAAAACCCCGCTTGGGGGTAGGGAGCTTTTTAGGGCGTACGGTTTTCGAGTTTGGAAGCCATAAGTGTGCTGCAACTACCGCACTTTCCGCCGACATAGAACCATATCCCTCATCTGCCGCCTTACTAGACTTACAGTCGAGATCCGAAAGTTGGGGTAGGCGTGTCACCGGAAGTGACGTGCACTTGATAGAAGTTGCGTGGATAAGCTGTTGCCAGCATGCTTTGCTGATATCAGCGATGTATGTTGGAAGCAGCTTATCCACATAGATTCTATCAAGTGCACGTCACTTCCGGTGACACGCCTACCCCAACTTACGGATCTCGAGTATACACGCTAAATTAACTCCTTGTTGCAGACCGATCTTATCGGACTTCACTGCCTTTGACCTTAACACCCCCATATGCTCATCTCCGTGATTAACAAGCTTTTCACCTTGACCTTTCTTTTCTAGAATTCATTGAATATTCCCTTCACATTTTGAGCACAACGTCAAAGATCTAGAGAATTCCGATTGCGAGTCCAAGTCGTGATGTATCTCGAAACATTCTGCTATTTCTTATCTTTCCACCGGTTTGCACGAATGAATATTTCTGAACGGCGGTCCTTTGAATGCGTAGCTCGGATAATAACCATTAATCATTCTATAGCGAGGATATGATTGAACAAAAAGTCGGTTAGGCTGCTTG